GTTCAATCAGATTATATTGTTTTCTATTAATGCTTTGCGCGTAGCAAATGCACTTTTAGTACTATTATGTACTCGAGAGTCCAATAAGTATGTACTTTTACTACTATTTCGTTTAAATTAATAATTCATACAATTGGACTGGTGTGAAATCCATTGCTGCTAATGAAATTTGCACTTGCTCTATTGTTATTTCGTATGTCTTTAGCTTAATGTATCGCGTAATGTGATCGTACATGCTCGATTATCACTTTGCTTGTCGTTTGCCTAATTTATCGCATAACGATATTGCACTTGCTTGATTAACTAAGAATATCATCCTTATCTAAGTTCTTTCGCATTTTCTACACTTCAAAAAGCCAGCTATTTCCGCATAATTTATCGCATAACTAATTCCCACTTGCTTAATCGACCTCACATGTCTGTCGCATACTTTATCGCATAATATTATCGCACTTTATCAATTCAATTTGTTTGTCTATCGCATAGGTTTTTCCATAATATTGGCACTTTATCAATTATCTTTGTCTCCATGTCACATAGTTCATCGCATAATTTTCTTGCACTTGGTCTATTATCTTAGCTTCTCTGTCGTACGTTATCTCATAATTATTTAGTACTTGCTCAATTATCCTCGTCTGCCTGCCGTATCGCATAATATTTCGCGATCCGTTGCCAAACTTATTCCAATTCCAAGAGATCGAATCGAATCGATATTGATTTATCTTTGTCTTCCTGTCGGGTAGTTTATCTCATAAATATTTCGCACTTTTATCATTTATCTTTGCATGTCTGTTGCATAGTTTATCGCCTAAATTCGTTTCGCACTTTACTAATTATTTTCGCATGTTTGTCAAATAATTTATCACATAAATATTTCGCATTATCAACTATCTTTGCATGTCTGCCTAATACTTTATCGCCTAATTTATTTCACACTCTATTAATTATCTTTGCATGTTTGTAGCATAGAATAGTTATCGCATAATTATTTTTGCATTTTATTAATTATCTTCGTCTGCTTGTCGCTTAATTTATCGCATAATGAGATCTCACTTGCTGGATGATCTTCGTTTTTCTGTCGCATTGCTCATCGCATACAAATTTGCACTTTATCAATTATTTTTATTTATCTGTCGCATAGCTAATAGCATAAATATTTCGCACTTTATCAATTATTTTCACATGTCTATCGCATAGCTTATTGTTTAATATTTTCGTATTTCAACAATTACCTTCGTCTGTTTATCGTATCGTTTATTGGATAATGTTTTCATACTTTGGGGGGTAAAAAGTTAATTTATTATTTGAAAGTATGAAAAATTTATTTTGTCTTCATAGCGGGTGAAAATAACTATTTCTTATAGTGAGAATGATTATCAGTGAAAGAAATAAAAAACATC